GGGCTAATATCTAAAACATATAAGAAACACAATTAAATCAATACTAGAAAAATAAACCTGACTTTAAAATAGGCAATTAGAACCAAGTATAACTTGTGCCCATAATCCCAACACTCAGTAGTGTGAGGTAGGAGGATTCCTGTAAATTCAAGGCCAATCTGGGCTACATAGCAAGAATCTCTCAAAAGTAAATAAATAAATAAACAAACAAACAACTCAAGATAAATGAATTAAAGAGGAAAAGAGCAAAGAAGCTGTATACATATTTCTCCAAAACAGACATACAAATCACCAACAAACATGTAAAAAATGCTCAATCACTGATCATCAATGAAACACAACTTAAAATCACAGTGAAGTACAACTTCAGATCTCTTAGAATGGCTTCTATCAAAAAGAGAAAATTAACAAGTGGTGACAAGAATGTGGAGAAAAGGAAATCTTTGGACACTGTTAGGAGAATGTAAATTGGTACAACCATTATGGAGAATAGTATAGGAGTTCCTAAAAATTAAAAATAATGTTACTATATCACTCGACAAGCACACATCTAGATGAATATCCTAAGGGAATAGAATCACTATCTTGAAAAGAGATCTGCACTCCCATGTTCATTGTGGAATTATTCACAATAGCCAAGACACACAATCTGGACTGATCAACAGATGAATAAACAAAAAAAATGTGCTACACATGCATGCAGTGTAGTACTGCTAAGTCTTAAAAGTAGGAAATCCTTGTATTTGCCACAACATAGATGAACCTTGAAGATATTATGCAAAGAAAAATAAACCAGGCACAAGAAGACCAATCTTGCATGATCTCTCTTCAATGTGAAATCTGAGAAAGTCCAACCCACAGAAACAGATTATAAAATAGTGGCTACTAGGGACTGAAAGATGGAAGGGAATGGTTTCAAAAGGTATAAAGTTTCAATTAGGACAAGTAAGTTCTGGAGATCTAAAACAAGGGATATAATCACTAATACTATATTACATACATGAAATTTCCTAAGAGAGTAGATTTTAAATGTGACCACAAAAAAGAAAAAGATAATTTTGTGAGGTGATGTATATGTTAGTTGTCTTTATTATTATAAGCATTTCACAATGTATATTTACATCAAAACACCAAGGTCTGCAGGCATAGCTCCTTGATAGAGTCCTTGCCTGATATTTAGGAAGCCTGAGTTTAATCCCCCATACCACAAAAAATAAACAAAAATCCTTTCATGTTGTACTCCATAAATAATACAATTTTTATTTAGCAATTGTATCTTAATAAAGCTAGGAAAAAAGACTTTACCTGTGATTATATCTTTCTGTTAACATCTAAAGTAAGTAGATTATACCAAAGAGTGTCCCAAAAAGATATTTGACAAATAAAAGGAGAAAAATCAAAATGAGCTACTATAGCCCTTGATTTCATATGAAACAAAAACAAGAAAACACAAAAGGAAAAAAAGAGAGGTAGAGAGAGAAGGAAGAAGACAGGGAAGGAGGGAGAGAGGTTGCTCTGTTATCAACCAGGGAATGATGAGCCAAATTCTGTACTGTGGAGGGTGGAGATCTGAACACTGAGAGATACCACATCTCAAGAGAAGGGTACAGCTATGGATCTGCTTCTAAAAACCAGATGTCTGGTACCACATACCATGAACAATCATTATTTCTTAAATAAGTTATTGTCCCTTTGGGGTCATTAATAGACAGTTAAAGGAAAAAAGATAGGAATCCTTATTTTTATTCACCAGGATCATTTGGACCACACTATGACAGATACTAAGTTATTTAAAATTTTATATAATGAATAATTTGATGATTTTTATTGAAGCTCTCTAGAATTTTTGGCACCCCAGAGTTGTGGTGACAATCACAAGCATTTATTAGAGTATTCCTTGAATTATTACAAAATTGCAGATCAAATTTATTACAAAATTGGACTTTAACAATTTTGTAGTAGAGTTTCTTCATTATTTGCAAAAGGGCCTTAGATCTGCAAATGGTCAGCCAGCCAATTAGTGCCCAAGCAGGGTAAGAAGACCAGTTATTTCAGCTCCCATCCAATGGTTTTTCCACAGCTAAGCTGCAATTTCTAATATGACTTCATTTTCATGTAATAAAGTTATAAGACCCTGTAGTATCCCTGAGAAATATCTCCAAATGGTTAATTTTATCACATTTTTAAGAAATGCTTTAAAATATTAAAATAAATACAATATTTTAGGAAGATAGAAAGCAAGCTTAATTTTGTAAAAGACGAAGCATTTTCACTTCCTATTTGTAATTTACATTGTATATTTTAAATGGAGACAAAAAAAGGAGATGGTACATGTTTCCCTGTTTTTTTTAATAATCTAAAGCAATGGAATTCTCAATTTAAATCTGTTCATCCACAGTTCAATCAGTTGAGGAAGTGATACATTGTAAGGACAAACACTCCAGATGTCCAGTCTGCTCCAACTGGCTATGTGACCTTGAGTATTGATGTCTCCTCTGTGCATTTCAGTTTCTTCATCTGTACAATCAATAGATTGCACTAAGTCAATTTTTAGATGGTCAAACAAACCTGGGAAACAAAACTGGTCCCTTTCCTCCATACTTCTGAGATCCCTTCTAACTTTTGAAATATAATAAAGCTAAACATATAATTTCAAGTGGGAAAAAGGAATTGGTATAATTATTAGCACAACTAAGATTATTTGAAATGCATATTCTGTGCAAAGGATCACTGCCATGATCAACCCTATATTCAAGTATTAACTGAAGCACTTATTTAGAAGAACAGTTGGATTTCCCATGATTACCATCATTGCCCCAAACAATGTCAGTATATGGGTTACTACTCCTGCCTATACTCAAAGCCCAGGAATCTGAGGGTATCTGAGAACACTTAAGGACACTACTCTGCTCTCAGGAACATGCACATAATGAGCCACAGTTATCTAAGAATGACTTAACTACTCAACCACGCATGCTCGGCATGGCCAAGGTCATACAGCAGGTGTTTTGTCTCTCCATGTCCTGGTAAGCAGAGAAGACACTATAAATGGTATGAACTAGAGAACAATGTAACCTTTTGAAAGCTGTGTTTGCTGTGCTTTCTATGTAGCTATAACTATTGTTTTGATGAAAGAATAGACTCAGCTCTTGAGCTTGGAGCTGCAGCTCCAGCTCTACTCTGCTCTGATGCTGCCCTGATACTGATAATTGTCTCTGTGTGTGTTGTTCTTATTGGGGAATTAATGAAATCACTCACGAAGGACTATATGGACTGAACAGACCCCTCTCCAGGTGCCTTCTGGGGAGGCCTGGAGGCTCAGCCTTGGCCCTCACACACTACATGTGGAAAATATAAATATATCACAAGTTTCTAGAGCTATTATTTTATTATCAATATTTTAATCAACCATAAAGGTAGTCCTGCTGCTTAGCACTGCACGAGTGAAAACAACCCAGAGCAATCAGCCCACAAATCAAAACTCTCTTCTCAGAGTTTCCAGGGTATTCACTTCAAAACCATTTTGATCCTAACTTTTGGATAGTTGAGTAACCAATGTTCCTGTATCATGGGTATGAGTATAAATGACTCAGAGAGTCACCAACTCCCCAAAACAGGGTAACAGTTATGTACCACAAGCATCAAATAAAATAAAAATAAAAAGACTCAAAAAGTCACTCTGCTTATTCACATGTCTTAGTTACTTTCCTCATTGCTGGGACAAAATATCTGGTACCCACAACTTAAAAGGAGTGGTTTGTTTTGGCTTATATTTCAGTCTTTAGTTGGCTGGCTCCCAGGAAGGATGGCATGGCAGAAGCACATGACCAGGGAGAGTTGCTCAGACATGGCAGACAGGAATGACAGAAAGTGAAGGGAAGAGCCAGAGAGAGAGATACACCCTTCCAGGACACATATGTCCCAGCACTTCAGACCAGACCAGGCCCCACCTCTTGAGATCAATTCAGCCATGAGCCCCATAATACAATCACTTTCCAGAAGCCCTGCCTATTAGCACATGAGGCTATTGGGGAATATCTAGACATAAACCATAGCAACAAAAGAAATATATTCCATTTTCATGGTGCTTATATGCTAGATGGGGAGAGATAAAATAAACAGTATATATAAAAATAAGTGAATCATTATTTTCAAAGGCACTTTAGCCAAAGAGAGAGAGAGAGAGGGAGAGGAAGATGGGGGATGAGTCAAGTAGCCTGTCTTGGAGAAGAATTTTACAGGCAGAGGGAGGAGACAGGGCAAGGGCATATTTGATTTATTCAAAGAATAAAAGGACTAGGAAAGAGACAAAGTCATCGTGCTCTTGTTCTCATGAAAATTATAAAATTTCATCTTCAAGCTGAATTTCATATTTTAATATTTTCATTTAAAATGAAAATTATAAGGCCTACTCTACAAACTTTACTAGAGTTATATATTTATCAAGAAATAAAAAGTTAAAATTCTTCTGAAAATTTAAGACTTATCCCAAAACCATGATCTCTGATTCTTATGCATTTTTAGTCTCCCAACCCCTACAAACATATAATTGGTAATAAGCTGTTGTATGATATGCAAATATGCCATTTAATAGAGATGATATCATTATATAGAAATCAACTAATATGTTCATTTTAGAAATTTAGAGATGAAGCACAAAGAGATTTGTTATTCCGACAAGGAAAAATTGCAAGATTTATAGTTCACATGAAAGCATTCATTCTTTCTGAAATGTCACAGTCCCCTTCGCATTTATTACATTGTTTATTTCAATAACTTTTTTCCAGAAATTGAAGCAATTGTGATGATTGTACAATTTACATGGCATTTCTCTGGATTAATATCACCAAAAAACCAAGAGCTGTCTAGAGGTAGTACTTGTTTTATGAAAGAAGGATCAGAAAGCCTTCCCCACAATAGACATTTCTGTCCCTGCCTTGAGAAAAAATGAACCATGACATCAAGAATTTACATATAACATAAAACATGGGCAACCATACCTTTCCCAGCTGGTCCTTTTTGACGAATCCAGTGGCAGCTGCAATGTTCCCTGCTCCCTCCACTGTCTTCTGGGCTACTGCTGTCACCCCTGTTACCACTGCGCCTCCAACATTCGTCACCTGTTCTTTGGTCTTCTCGGCCACTGGAGTAAATAAAAAAATAATGAATTAAATTATGGTAGAATGACAATGACTAATAATTCTACTTCCATCTGCCTTCCACTTCTACACATGTATATTTACACACATCATAAACAACACAGAGGGATCAGAAGAAACAAAATCTACATTTCTTCTAAGTGAGCTTAGTGTAGGCAAACATTGAATCTTTGCTAAGAGAGTCCATTGCAATTATCCAGATAGTAGGAGGTTTTTCTTACCTAATCACCATGAACATATAGCTATGAATGGTTTGGTCTTGGTGTATGTTAAGGACTGTGTAGAGAAAGCTTACAGGTGCACTTACAGTCAAATCAGTCGCAGCATGAAATGTATTTCTTTCAATTTGAATTCCATTTTCTTGATCTCATTCAGAAAGTTCACTTTCACTACTTTTGTAAGTAAGATAATAAATACTACTTATGAGTTGAACAGCTCCAATCCAAGAATCTGAAATTTGAAATGCCCACAATGTCGGAAAAAATTTTCACTTTCTGTTCCTCAGACAAAAGTCTACTATCTCAAATCTATAAAGAAATTTTAAAAAATCAGACCTCCCAAATTTAAACACCCAATCCAAAAATAGGCATCTAAAATGAACAGACATTTCTCAGACAAAGAAGTAAAAGCAGCAAATAAACATTTGAAAAAAATTTTCAACATCACTGGTCATTCGAGAGATGCAGATGAAAACAATGCTGAGATTCTACCTCACTCCAGAAAGAATGGCTGCTATCATGAAATCAACCAATAACAAATGCTGGCGGGACTGTGGGGAAAGAGGAACCCTGCTCCACTGCTGGTGGGAGTGTAGACTGGTGCAAGCACTGTGGAAATCAGTATGGAGATACCTCAAAGAACTAGGACTGGAAGTCCCATTTGACCCAGCTATTCCCCTGCTGGGGATCTTCCCCTAAGAATTAAAAGAATCATACCACAGTGATATATGTGCACCCATGTTCATAGTAGCACAATTTGTAATAGCTAAAACTTGGAAGCAGCCCAATTACCCATCAACTGGAGACTTTTATAAAACAGAGTACTACTCTGACATAAAAAATGAGAAATTAGAGACATTTATAGCTAAATGGATGCACATTGAAGTGATACTCTTAAGTGAAATAAATAGGACACGCATGTGTAAATACCCAATAGTTTCTCTAGTGTGAGAAACTGAACGTGTAAAGAAGGACTAAAAGTTATAATAGATAATGTGAAATAGGAAGAAAAGGGGCAAAGGGGAAGGGGAAGTGCGAGGGGTAGGGAAAAGGAAAGAAGGGAATGGAACTAATATGAGAAAATTTATGGAAACAATGTCTTTGTAAATAGGGAGGAATGGAGGGGTTGAAGGGAGAGCAGGGGAAGGGGAAAATAAGAACCAAGTAAGATTATATAAAGGTGCAAATTTACAATGATGAATGTCATTATATTGTATACCTAAAATGTACCAATAAAATTAATTTGAAAAAAACTAAAAAAATAGAAAGTTTGCTTTTCAGTCAACTGAAGCGTTTGATGAAAAATGTACCTAAAGACAAGAGATTCAATTCTTTAAATAATTCTCAGGTCAATACAGAAGTAGACCAATCTGTCTTCATTTAATCCTCTATAACATCTGTACCCACAGATCCTGAGTTTCTCCATCTCTTATCTACATTTATGTCATGCTTGCCTTTTCATTTTGCCACACAACTCATTCTTTGCTTTGTCCTCTAGGCTTCGAAAATTTTTGCTTTTGAGAGACACTCTCCTAAACAGACATTTCTTGTTGTGCATTGTACTCTCCAGATCTGCCTCAGTCTGAGGAAACCAGAGTTACACTGTGCCAGCCATCATGGGCTTTTCGCGTGGTTATTACACTGCCCAGATTCCATATCACCAGTTGGAGAGGACAATGATCAAACAGTGTAGGCAAAGAATTTTGTTTTGAAATGGTTTACTTAGGAGAGGTTCACTCTTTAGTTCAGGCACTGTTGGGATGCCTGAAGTGGTCAGACAACCTAAAACCAGAAAGTGGCCATGGCAGCTGCTGCTCTGTGCACATCCTTTGGGCTGGAACTGTACAGTTCAGTGTCTGACTCCCTGACACTTCAAGGGCAAGTCTGACGCCCCGAGCAGCAATGGCTAGTCACAGTTCAAGTTCAGTTTAAATGCCACTGAAAAGCTGTGCTGGCAATTTTATGTTTTTAAACATTCCTAGAATGTTGATCCTTTAAAAATAGTAAATTATATGTGTCAACTTGTCACTTTTTTCCAAAGACATGAATACAAAGTTTTGTTTGAGATGAAAATTTTCTTGTCAAAACTCTCAAAGCAAGACAAAAATAGGCTTTGATTTTTCTACAGACTCAAAGATTTTTCTGCCAGCCATGAATTTTACAGTATGTAGATATCCTTTATGTATGTATAAATTTTAATTTTGTTTTAACACACATACACTGCACAGTATTATATACTATAATCTCACTAAGTTTTATTATTGTAACAATAAATAAATTAGTTACATTTCAAAATGACAGAGTTTATAGGTAACAATAAGAGACATATTTTAAAAGACTGATTTCTCTAATAGGTTTCTCATTGACCTTGAAACCCTTTTCCTTCATTTAGGACCTTTTAGACCATCTCTCTGTCCATTGACGTTTCACAACAAGGGGAAAAAAGACAAGTTTAATGAGTTCATTTTGAATTTAATAAATTGTATTTATTTTTTTAAAGGAATTCCTTATAACTAGAATTAAAATAGATATTTCCCTCCTGTACTCAAAAGAGACTATAATATTTTGAATTTGCTTATATTTTTCCCATTGTACCAGTTTTTCCCAGTTTGGTATACAGAGCTTCTCTGGGCAGAAGCCTTTATTTCTCCTCTGTTTATTTAGGGAACTCAATTCCTTTGTTAAAGCCCAGCTCAAATGCCACATTCCCTGTTAAAAACCTCTCCTATCAACAAGTGCCTTTCTTTGCCCTCCTATGATCTCATAAAATTTTATGTATCTCTCTCAGGTTAAGCTTTTACATTGCACCATAATTATTCATTCAACAAAGTATCTGCTTACCTCCACCCACCCTATTTTGACTCCTTTAAATCCTGCTTTATTATTCTTCATATTATCTTATAATAGATATTCAAAAAATACTTTGGAATTTCCCTAAAAAATTTTGTGTCTCTCTATAAAGTATACATTAATTTCAAGAATTAGACTTACATTTGATTCTTAGCTCAATTAAAGGTAAAATTTCAAAAAACAAATGTGGCATTTTCATAATAGATATACAAAATCTAACTTCTGACATTAAATGAAATTATAAAATTAATAAGATCTAGCTTCGATTTAGTATATAAATGATAGGTAAACAATATACTGAGAATATTAGATCATTACATGTTGAAAATTTGCTTTGATATGATAAATTTCTGTAAGAATTTAAACTTTCAGAATGTCTCCAATATTAGGAATTTCTTTTATATCATACTTGTATGAAAAAACAAGTAAGTTTATATATCATCATTTCTAAAGTTTCTTCAAAGATTTATCTTTTAGTAATTCAAGTAAATATATTTTTATATCGTGCTTTAACATGATACATTAAGTTGACAACTGATATAATTTCCTAGAAGTCAAAAAGCCAGGAGTCAGGGTGGAGATTTTGGATTTTCTAACCAGGAGAATTTATTTTCTTTGATTTTTTAGATAAAAAAGTCTTGGCCTAAATTTACTGAAGTCTACATTTCTGCAAAACCGTTACTGGGATAAATTATGGGGAATTTAAATGTTCTTTTAACAATAGTGAATTTTATGTACCATATAATTAGTTTCTTGCTTTCTTAAATAATGACTAATAGCAATAACAAATATTTATTTAGCAGTTATGATGTACCTATAATAAATATTTTAAATCTAGCATAACAAGAAATCAGTTAATTATCATAAACTTACTTATCCCCATAACTGGAATTTGGATTTTATATTAAATAGCTTTATTCAACAAGTTAAGTCATTCACTTATCTGATATGGAACAGGAATGGTCCTTATTGCAGGTTATCAAATGATCAGACTAATTATAATAGCATATCTGATATTGTACTTGTGACATTTAATCTTGATTGTCAGGCTGACTGGCATGAGATTAGTCAAGCACTCTTCCAAGTGTGTTTGGGTGGGTCATGCATATTTGATCTTAGGGACAATATCTGGCTCCTAGCCCAGTTCTTCCCATTTCTTCTTTTGTGTTCTACTTCCCAGTTGCTGTGAAGTGAACAGTTTTGCTCCCCACACCCTTCCACCCTCACATTTCTGCCTTGGAGCCAGCTGACCATAGACTGAACTCTCTAAAACTGTGATCTAAAATAAACCTGTTCTCTCTAAAGTTGAAAATATTGGGTATTTTGGGCCAACAACAAGAAAGCTAACCAATACAGTACCACTGTCAGAGTCCTGGTCTGGTACAGCTGCACATATTTTCTACGCCCAAAACACAGTGGCCTTGCTGCCTAACAATAACTCCCATAGTTTTCTATGAAACATTAGTTTTATTTTTACCCTGTATTTAGCGAAAGAAAGTTTCAACAGTCAAGTAAGTTTGAAGAACTCTGGATTAAAATATGTTACCAAAATATTTTTACTGTAGAACAGCTTAGATTCTCTAACATGCTGAACATAGAATGGAGTATGTAAAGTGTTGTAAAATTATGAAACATGAATGTAGGCTATTGTCCTCAAGAATATTTGTAAAATGTTACTTTATTATAATCCCCCTACACACACACACACACACACACACACACACAAAAAAAAAAAAAACCTCATTTACAATATGGTGTTCTGGAGAAGACTAAAAGTCACCAAACTTGTTGACAGTTATTCTTGCAGCTCATCTCCATTATATCCATTAGAAAAAAGTATTAGTTAGAGTCTTCATTTTAGCCACTGGCTCTGAAACCCTGCCACATGCTGTCCTCTTTCTAAATCACATGGCTTCACTTTCAGCTATCATAGTGGAGCCCCATTTATCTAAGTTAAAACTCTTCAGATAGTATACTCTCCACCTCTGCTATCCAGTTCTTATTAAAATCTTGCTTAATATCATTCATAGAAGGCTCCTAGAAGGCATCAAAGTACACTTATTTGCCAAGCTCTCTGCATTATATATTGCATTGCAACCGAGCAAATGAAAGCTACATAATTACTTCTAACACAGTTTTTACAAAAAAAAAAATGTGCATTAAAAAAGACATGAAATGCTTTTCTTCGGTATTGTAAAAATGTTGCTCAAGAAAGGTCCACTCTAAGGAAATAAGTAACACTTGAATAATCATATTATTTTCTTTCAGTTTTCTAATTTTTTTGTATATTAGTTTACTTAATTCTTTCAGAGACAAGGAAATTAAATCACACAGAAGTTACAACCCTGACAGAAAATCACACAGTTGATAAAGTATAACCAGAAATTTGAGCCTAAGAGACTAACACCAGTGATTATGCTCCCAATCACAATACCGTATTAATACTCTCATTTCACTTTCACCATTTCACTTTTATAACTCTATGATGTAGACATGTTATTTTTATGAAGGATTATTATGTTTAATGCTTTCTGATTATATGAATCAGATATTTGATTAAATCTCTGGTTTCACATACTTAAGAAATAGAGTATGGCACAACATAGAACTCAATTGTCAACTCTGTGGGATAATTTGTTAAATTTTTATTCTACTTCAATGTTTTAAAAAATTTTCAATACTGTGAATTGAACTGAATCCAGAGTGTTTGCACTGAGCTACACTCTTGGCTTTTTTTATTTTTTGTTTTGAAACAGGGTCTCACCAAGTCCCTAAGTTGCCCAGGCTGGGCCTGACTCCCCAGAGTACAGGTATTACAGGCATGTGCCACAATGTCCAGTTCTTCTTTCTTTTTTTATTTATATCACTGTCATCATCATTTTCTTCATCCTCACCTATACCATTACTTTCATCATTATTGCTCTTTGTTTATTGCAAATCTCCATACACACCTGTTCAGAGTCCTGGTAACATTAGCCCACATGGAGCTAAATATAATAAATGATTTATAATCATTCCAAAGGTATTTTCTAAAATGCACTGTGAATCATAAAGTATTATAATCAGTATAGATTATGATCAGAATACAATATTCCACAGAAAATTTTACTTTAATCCTTCAGAAAATGATCACTCTTACATTTTTATTTATGATAATTTAGTTAATTTTAGGTCAGAATATTCAAATGACCAAATACTAAAAATTAAACATAGTGGGTCAGCTCAAAATCATCATTCTTGGCAAGTAAATCTACGCATTATTTATCATAAGTATTCATTTTAAAATGCTTGAAAAATAAGTTTAAACCAGATCAATGCTCCTTTAGAACATTTCTCTTTATGCACAGTGCTTATTGACAATTACATTTTGGATGATCCATGCTCTGGCCACACTTGTTGTCACTTGACATTATACCCTCCCTGCATATAATCCTCTTGGGACTTACCTGTCGTCACACCATGAACCACTCCCTCCTTGGTTTTGGAGCCTGTAAAAACAAACAAATGCAAAACATAAGTCTCACGCTGTCCTTAGGTTGCTGGTTAGCCAGTTTGAAATACAACTAATTAAAAATCTCTATCTGCAGAAGCCCATATATAATGATATCCTCAGAGGGAAAAAAAAAACAACCTAAAAATAAATAAACTGAGGAGATCCAGTAAGCACCACAACAAATAGAAGAGAACAAAGCTAACAGGAGAGCTCCCAATTCATATCAATGTTTTAGGAGGAAGCAAGGGTGGGAAAGGTTCAGCAATGGGCACCAAGCTGCAATTAGATAATAATAAGAAGTTCTAGGGTTGGGGATTTATTTAGCTCAGTGGTTCTGCCACCTGCCTCGCAAGCACAAGGTCCACAGTTTGATTCCTGGTACAAAAAAAAAAAAAAAAAAAGAAGTTCTAGCTTGCTGTTGCTGAGTAAGGCGATTGGAGCAGACACTATGTACTGTATATTTCAAAAAGTTATTGGAAGGGGAATTTGAGTTTTCACCATAAATAACAGAAAAGTTTGAGGAGCTAGACATGTGTAACCTGATCACACAGGGTATACATGTATCAAACATCACAAGTATCCATTAATGTGTACAATGTTTGCGTTTTATATGTATCAGTTAAAAACAAATTTGATTTTTAAAAGAGATTTTAACACAAAATGATGACTTTTTATTCCATCGATTCCCATATCACATATCAACTTACATGACGTGGGCAGGGGCAGGGCATGATATAACACTGTGGCTTAGTGAGGAGATTTTAGACCCAAACTCGAAGCTGAAAAAGCTCAGCACAGTTGAGAGATTAGTTAGTACATGAAACAAAACAGAAAGGAGAGGAAGAAAGGCGCTAACATTTGTCAAATCCCTATTATGTAAAAGCCACTATTATACATCATCTCATTTAATCCCTTTACATCCATCTAATAGATGTGTATTATTCTCATTTCATGTATGAAAAAATTTAAAATCTAGTTCAATGATTTGCCTAATGTTGCATATTACATATGTAATAATAGGCTACAGCAACAATCAAACTTTGCATGTAAGAATTTCCTCCAATCCTTGACCATTACTCAATTTCCCATACTTATTATATATGCTATTATATATGTTATTAAAACTAAGTTTATTAATATTTTAGTCATGGCCTCTCTAATGGATTTTTCACTAACATTCACACCAGCTTTTTAATTTAAATGTTTTCAAAAAATTAACAACAGATTTGACATTTGATTGTAAGCTATCTTACAATTCAAATAATGGATTTCTTTTGAAACATAAAAGAATATAAGGAAATGACATAAAATCTGAGAATGAGTTAAACTTATAAAGGGATAGCAAGATAATTACAAATCTTCACTTTTCAAAGGCACTAAGGTTTCAACAATCCCTATGGAACACGTAAGAAACAAATATATGCACTTTTCAAACTAAAGGAGAAAAAATATGAGGGGACCTTAGAGCATAATTACCTAAATGAAAGTGCTAGTTAAAAATGCTGATTATTAAGTCAGAGCCCAAGTATTCAATAAATGCAAAGTAAAATTATTTGCATTTTAATAGCCCTCCTGATCTCACACAGGTAATTCATGGATCAAATTTTGAGAAACATTGACGTGAAGTAGTCCTAGTAGTTTCAGATTTATTTAAAATGTGGAAGTACATTTTATTATCTGAATGATATCATCAATAAGATAATCTAAATTATCACATTGAAAATATTCATTGAATATTTTTCAACATATATAAATAGGATAGTAAGTCAACTCTGTATGCACTATATTATATTAACTTACATTTTATAAAATAGTCAAGTAAAGTTTCTACATTTAATAAAACAATTAAATATATTTAAAAACTTTCAATTTGAATATAAAGGCCTTCAGTACAAATGAAACAAAGTAAAGCTTTGTAGTTAAGAATGTGAGCTTTGGATTCCGATCGTCAATCTTCATGTTAACCCCCCAAAATCAAACGTACATCACTGGCTTAATGTGATGATCAAAGCAAATAATTCACATAAAAATTCTTAAGATGGTGTCTAGTACCTTGCACATTTTGGTAAGTGATAACTGTCATTCTTCACATATAAAGTTTGTAAAGTGTTGTTCAGTTTAAACCACAGAAAAAAATCACCAAGTCATATGTGTATGTAAGTAAAAAGGTACAGTTGCTTAAATATGTTAAAGTACATGTCATAGTATTTTACACATTAACATATATGTTATATGTGTGTATTTTACAGGCAACACTTACCTTGTTTGGTACTATGATATTGTAAAATGTGCAAACTGAGACAAAACTAAATAATCTTAATAATCAATAAGAAATATTATCAGTAAATCAGTGATAAAATGTTGATTGTTTCTTGACCTTTAAAAAATTTTGTCAAACTATTAAAAATTCTTAGCCATGTATAAATGTAAAGAGAAATAAAAGTATCAATTTAATAGTAAAAATAGTATTATTTCTTATGCTGAAACTTAAAATATTAAGAATTAAAGTGTTTTACTTCATTATAAAATGTATCAAGAGTAGTCCTTCTCACTGCATAACTTCCGGTGTGGACTGGACAGCTCTTGTATGTCTCATTAAGCTGGCGTTCTCCTGGCTGAGTGCGGATCAGCTTTCACACTGCTACCCTTTGCACTATGAGAGTCATGATTTACCCCTGAGGGTCCCATCGGTTTGCAGTGTTTGGTGGGACCACTTTGTCTGATCCACTGCTGCCTGCATCTGTCATTCTTCCCATTTTTGCTGGCACACTTCCCTTTAGAGCATACCAAGGACCTCCTGAACTGCAGTAGTGACCTCATCACCAAGGTCCACTATTTCTCCTGTAAGTCAAATTATGTTTGATTTCAATTTTACTTCAGTATTTTCACTTCTTTTCTTTGCTGCACTGTGATCTTTGATAGCCAGTTTCCTCTTTCTCTCATGGACTTCTGTGAAATATCTCATGGATTTTACCACCAGGAGACAAAGAGGCAACACAACTAAGAAGATGCTGTCTGTATGAACTGAATGACAGTTGTGAAATGATTAATCACTGACAAACATTTAAGAAGTAATATATTCACTGATTACAATGTGTTTCTGATATTCGTGTAATGACTTGGAGGTTGAAGAGCTAGCAGTAAAGTTTGTACCTTATGCAATTGCTCTCAGCTATGTACTGTGACAACAGAAATTTAAGCTATGTTATTAGGGGAATGGTGTTACTTAACTATGGTAGCCAGAATTTGTGTATACTAGAACAATATCTAGTGAGAATAGCTTATATTTAAGAGAATATTTCTCATCTCTACCCCTTCCCCCCACTCCTGTACCTATATTTTAAAAACAAAAAAAGTAGGGGAAAGAAATGTTTAATTGTTGGTTTGATTTTTGCTCTCTGCCTCAGTAGTACCTCAGATTTTGATCTCTGGTTAAATCATGGAACCACGGAACGTATCTTAAATCAAAAGCAAGCAAGAATTCTAATGATGTGCCATGTATCGAACCAATGACTTGTTATTTGCTATCACAGTTGTTCAGCAGCAGTCTATAATTGATGATAAACATTTAACTTATGAGAAATTTCCAATTAATGAGCTATAGTTGCAAAATAAGTGCCAACTGGCCATGGTAATAGCAAGATAATTGAAACTGAAAAGACTCCAGAGCTGATGACTTCCTTGAGCTGAGGTCGCCCTCCACCATCCTGTCTTGTCTCTCACAACCTCACAAGGGTACAGAGTGGAGAGGGTCACAAGTAACATTGGGACTTGCAAGAATTGTTGCATGTGTTCCATTGACTTTCTCAATTTGATAAGGTGAAATATATATTTTTTGACTTGAGAGTTTAATATTAATCACAGTGATGATTGCTGCTTATTGAGCAGAATGATACTGAAGGAGTTTTGAAGATCATTATTTTCTTGCATTTATTAATATGCTTGAAGTAATTTTTCTGTTTTTGAATCTAAATCTTAATGTATAATTTCTGAGCAACATGACTGAGATTTTGCTCAAATAAGTTGAAGTATATTGATTGAAAATTTGTGTATACAGATTTCACAAAGGGAGAAAAATATATAAAAGGCACACGGATTATTATGGTAGTTCTTCTATTTGTTAAAAGGTAGTTGCCAAATACCTATTCTTATAAATGAATGGGATTACTTATGAGGCTTCTCTCAAACATCTTCATGCATAAGTACAATTATAAAACTTTCTTTAATCATTCCTAATCTTCCAAACTAATTATTGATGATCATTTTTGTAAAGAAGAATGAAAGGATGAGAAATCATGTTGACAACATAATTGTTCTGCTGGAGAGTTTATCTGATAATAATTACCACGGTTCCTATATACAAAAGTTTGCTTATTTAATCTTATATCCTGCTTTATTGTGACTTTCTCACAAAAACTTGGCAAAGTAGTATTTTTCTAAATCGTATTTTGTTTTACCAATGAGGGAATACTCAGAGATATTAAATAACTTCTCCAAGACATTAATGGTAAGATTGGACTCACGCTGAACTAAAACTCAGGTTTATGGGACATCCAGTCCATATTTTTTCCACTTGACCAATAAGCAGTCAAACACAGCCTACTAGTTAATTCCAGCACACCATCTGTTTTGGTAAATAAAATTTTATTGAAACTATTACATTGTTACTGTCTATGGTTGCTTTCACACTTCAACAACAGGTGTGAGTAGCTGAGACCAGTATATTATGATCTACCATATTTGCTATCTATATGTTCATCATTTAATTAAACTTCAGCACATAACCAATAAATAATTTATAAAAAATACTGTGGCAAATATCATGATATATATTGAAAACTATTTTCTAAAAATTGATGTGTAAACAAATCACAATATTATATAATCACCTAATATCAAAAAACAATTAATTTCTGAAAAATAAAATCATTCTTTCCCCAAACTCCTAGTTAACAGTGAAAACAAATAAGTACTCCAGATGATGAAATCTGTTCATTACCTAGAAAAGTGCAATGTATTAAATTAATATTCAGTACATTCTGAGTTTGTTACAAACTAATGGAGTAAACATTAGCAATTTAAAGATATCCTTCTCAGCACTCTCCGAGGCTGAAACAGGAGAATCACAAGTTGGAGCCCAGCCAGCGCAACTTAGTGACTTAGTGAAACCCTGTCTCAAAAATAAATAAATAAATAAAGGTTAAGGGAATAGCTCAGTGTGAAGGCCAAGGGTTCAATCCCCATATACACAGACACACACACACACACACACACACACACACATTCTTAAAAATACAAAGTTATAAAATAACTGAAATCAAAGAATAGTTGGAAGCCTATAATTTCAGAACTTGAAAAACTGACAAAGAGACAGTATTAACCTGTATGTCACAGATTTTACATCTCATATTTCATCTACAAATACATAATTCACAATTTGGAAAAAAATACCCTTAAAATTAAGTCACCAATTTTTCTCTTTTAACACTCACTTTAGATTTTTTGAAAATATTTTTTAAGGAAAGGAAAGAAGGCGTAAATGAAGCTTGGTGGGATGATTCAGTCAACATAAATAAAGCAGAATCTATGAAGAATGAGAAAAAAGTGATCTGCTATGAATTTTGATGAGAAACACCAGTAAAATCATTCCAGATAAAAGTTCTTTCCTGCTGATCTATGTTGGAGAGGCAGCAGAGCTACTTTCACTCCACCACATGCCTGTTATCCGTGCCTCCCAACAAGCTCCTCCTCCACCTTCTGCTCATCCTGTGACTTCTCTTGCCACACCGGCCTCAGAGAATGAGGAAGAGCTCAGAGGAGCAGAGGAGAAACAGGAGACCAACAGTGGGTTGCCTGTGTGTGCACGCATATGTTTCTATTCCTTCCCCCAAAGAATTTGAAGTGGTTTGTAAAATAACACAACACAGTTCACAATACAGAATGTACTGGTGTATGCATCAAGGTAGCCACTTAGGGGAAAAAAGGTAGTAAGTATCAATTTCATGATTTATTACGTGTGTAATTTGATAAATGAACTATGGAAACATTTCTGACATATTAGTAATAGCAACCTCAAGCCCTTTCTTGAACACTTAGTCCCCAGGGTTCCCCATGAATAAGTGATGGGAAAGAATAACTCTACCAAAGACTAATCCATCCTTACCATTTCAGGGCCAAGGTAGGTTTCTCTTTACACACCAGGGGACCATACCAAACTCTCAATTTTAAAACCAGAATACATTCAGAGTAGCAAATATTATTCCTGATAAAAGAAATCAAAATCCCATGAATGATCTTGAGCTAAAGAATATTCTTGATTATTCTTCAAAAGATTTTGAGTTTCAAAAACTATCTTCCAAAATATAGTCACTGATGCACAGCAATATTCATTAAAAAAAAGAAATGAAAAGTCCTAAACATTGTACCAAAATGAAATAATCTGGAAAAATATAAGATTGTCCCCATTTTTTACTATTAGCTAAAATGTACACATTCATATTCTTCTACCTACACACACCTATAACTCATCCCATCCTCTTGGCAAGTGATGATGGAGACATGAATCGATGGAGAAATATCAGCATTTAGAACATCAATCATCCAACCTGCCAATCATGAGTAAATACCAAGTGACACTCGGGTTACCTACCTACATAGAGAACACCCTCTTTCGTCTTCCCCGCTGCTTCTGCCACACCCTGCTTGGTTTTCTCAGCAGCAGCCACAACTCCCTCCTTGGCCTTTGAAAGTCCTTTCATGAATACATCCATGGCTAATGATCACCTTTACACCACACTGGAGAACACAGAACACTTCAAATGAGAACATTTGGGTAAAAGAAAACAAGATTAAAACACCCAGGTAAAAAGCAAGCTAAAATATCCAGAGAACCTCTAAGACTATGAGATTAAGTGTACCCTGATTTCAACCACTGGACACAGCAGCCCTTTTTAGCTTTTGCATTAAAAATGTAACAATTCCCATCCATCTTGGCCAGTGAAAGTCTAGCCACCCAAACACGGATTAGGATGATTCATTAGCGAACTGTTCTTGCTGCATTTCAGAAGTGCAGTTGCATGAAAAGATGGGCCTCTCTTTCAACTTCTGGGGGTCTGAAAGGTGACAGTAAAGTTAGAAGCACGTTTGGAAGAAAAAACACAAAAAAGACAGGGACCTGGGTGCCAGGGCGGGGCTTCCTTAAAATGAACCCCAGAAAGGCGCTTCCTGGTGGATCCCAGAGAGGGGAGAGAAGAGTCCTGGTCGCTCTGGCTGTGGTTCTGGCTGTGGCTCAGGCCGACAGCTACCCCAAAGACTCTTGTTCAATTAGGCAAATATCCACTCTACACAGCTATATACACCTACACCGAGCTGGCGCTGTCTACACCCGCGGGCAGGCTCCAGACCAACGGCTGGGGGTGAGGGGTCAACCTCAGCTGCACCTCAGTAGCTGGCCCTGCGCCCCACGCTTGTTAACCCCTCAGCACCTGTTGGCGTGCCTTCCCTGCGCTTCATTTAATTATTCGTTCCTCACTTTACACAGAACCAAGAAAGCGGCCTGCAGAGGAGTAATTAACAGAGAAATTAAAGTTCACATTCCATCCAGCATTCTAGCGTTTCCGCTAGAAAAGGCTTACTCCGGAGATGCCGTCTGACCTCTCAGCTTTTAGAGAGAAGAGGAGAGACTGGAGGACAGCCAGTCCAATTTACTTTGCTCCAGCCAAGCAAGGGACCCGCGCCTGCCGTGAGGGACCCCGAGCCCCGGGTCCTCGCTGCACCCAGCCCTCCGGGGCACGGCGATCCTCTCGCAGGGCCCGCTCAGATCTCCAGGCACTCACCTGTGTGCCTCTGTGTCTCCAGAACTCCGGTTCCTCCAACTCCTTAAAAAAAAAAAAAAAAAAAAAAAAATTAAACAATTTCCAAATATTCCAATGGGTGGAGGGGGGCAAGGAGCGCGCAGGAAGGGCGGAGGCGGCACCGGGAGGGGGACCGTCCCCAGGGGCGGCTGCCGTCAGCGTCAGCCCGAGCTGAGGCTGGGGCGTGGGCGACAAACCAGGACCTGTCGTCGGGTCGCCGCTCCCGCGCCCGCCCGAGACCGCAGGAGGACCCCGCGTGGGGACGGGGGCTGCATCGCGAGGGCGCCCCGAGCCCGCGCGCACCTCTCCCTCCGCGTCGCCGCTGTCGCTGCCCCTGCCTCGCGCAGCCCTCGCAGTCCCGGGCCTCCTCCTTCCCTCGTCTCCCGCCCCCACAGCGGATTTGTCAGCGCCTCTCTCCGCCTCTCCTGCGCGCCTGCCGCGGCGCGGGGAAGGGGTGGGGACGGGGTGGGGATGCGGTGGGGTAGCAGGTTGCGCCTCTGACTGTAGTCGCCTTTCGGCATGGGGCGGGTAGGGGCATGTGGCTCCAGCTGGGTCCTGGGCGATCCGGGTCGTTGGCTCTGAGCTGCTGTGGCTCCCTCTTCCCACCCCCGCTCCCTGTCTCCGCGTTTTCCCCGGATCCTAGGGGACCCCCCGCCCCGCCGCGGTCAGAGTCCACCCAAGGGAACCTGGAGGAGGGCCGGGGACCTAAGGCAGTGAGCGCCTTTGGTGGGCAGCTGGGACGGTATGAGCACTGGAGCACGTTCCCCGGGCCTCGGGCACAGCGTTACGGGTCGCTTTTGTTCGAACCCCCTGGGGATGTTCGCAAGCTCTTCGTCTCCTGTGAGCTCGGAAGGGACCGGCGGGTGGCGAGAGGACAACCAAGCGAGAGCTACAGGTCGGGAGAGGGGGTGCAAATCCTCTTCCCACCCTGCATCACCTTTTTCCTTTCCACCAATCAGCGTTTGCCAGAATCTGATTTTTTTCCCATCTCTAGAGCAAGGAATAAATATTCCCCAGCCGTCGAAAACAAACAAGCATAAAGCTTTTCGCTCTCTAAATAAGACTGACTTTCTAGACCCAAAGACTTGGTGTAGGAGCTCAGTGGGGCACGATTTATCCTCCAGGACCCTCCTATCCAATTTCTTCTTCAGCCCCCGTGAAAAGCAGATTCGCACCCCCTCGCCTTTCTGGCTTCTGATTCATTCACGCGCGCTCGGAGCTGGCAGCCCCCGCCCTCCCGCGCCCTGCTCAGCACGAACAGAGACACAAGACACGCGCGAGCTGGGAGACGTCTTTTTATCCCTTAATACACGCTCATTTCTGTCAGAGCTAAGTGGAAAACAGCTGCTCCTGGACTCCACCAGGAAGGAAATCCAAGCTCCTCCCTCCACAAAACGCCTTTGCGTGCTTTGCCTGGATTCTAAACATGAGTTGAACCCTGGAAGGGAAAATAAGTTCTTGAAGTATTGTAATTTTTTTTATTTTGTAAGAAATATACTTTCTCTGATCCTTGTATTCTGAGTATTTAGGCTCTGAAATTTGAGTAAAAAGGCGTGAAAGTCTATAATGCAACCATCTGAAACCACAAGGCTACAAGAAACAGATTATATACAAAACACACAAGATGTGGGTGTGTGTGTGTGTGTGTGTGTGTGTGCGCGCGCGCTACTTAAACACATCCTTGCTGTCTTGCGCTTCCTTTTATAAAATCAGCTTTTGCCTAATGCAGCACCTCAGATTTCGTTTTCTTGGGATAAGGGAGAAGAGGTTGGGCTTGGGGGCGTTTTGCTGTCTGGCTTTGAACTGAACATGTTCTTCTGTTCCCAGTTTTCACTTTTGTAACTCTGAAAGTGAACCTCGATGACCCTGTCACTTCAGTTCAGCATTACAGAAAATACGGCAACACGTACAAAAATAGAAAGAATAAAGGACTCACACAGGGTAGCACCCAACTTCCACAACTTTTCAGTGCGTGGTTAATCGAGGCTCAACTATATGCCCACTCATTCCCAGTAAATTACTATTAAATTCTAAGTTTTACCTATATTTTTTCATCTGTGAACATTTAGTACATATTCGTACAATATAAGAACTATTAAAAGTACCTACAGTAGTATTGGATGATATCTTAGATATAGTTTCTACAGTGAGATGCTCAGATCTTATATGTCCTTTCAAGTCAGTTTTGCAAAATCTGTACAGTGGGGTAGCACCTGCCATTTTGAAGACTTAGACCATTTCCATCACCCCAGAAAACTCCCTTGTACCCTTCTTAGTTGTGCACATTCTTGCAACTTAGAATTTCTTAAAATTGGGATCATATAACATAAACTGTTTCCTATCTTTCTGAATTCTTTTACCCAGCATATGTGTCAGGTTCATCCATGTTATTGCATAAATCAATAGTTTGTTTCTCTTACTGGTTTTTATCATTTCTTTTCATTGTGCCAATAATACTCTTAACCACTGTGACCCCTCACAGCCATGCACCTTGATAGAATATGATGACCATTATTTAATATATCATTTCATCTGACATATTTATATTTTAACATTGACTTCCTCAAGGTCTGGTACTTCAAGTCAAAGGATGAAATAAAATGACAGGCATGTCAGGTCTAATTATCAGACCAGAGAGAATTATATGAGAATGGTTATGATTCTTACAACAGTATAATTCCACACCTTTACAGTGGACCCTTGACTTATGAGCTCAATTCATTTACCAGACTGATTGTAACTCAAGTTGGTTGTATATCTCAAGACTATTTTTCCTGTAAGAAATAATGGAAATACTCATAATACATTCTGAACCTTCCAAAGCACCCCTTAACTAACTTTTCATAATAAAAAAGGGTTGTATAATGTGCATAATTTGCCAAAAACACCAATAATTTTCCTAGTGCATTCACCAAATGTTATAAAATGTGCCTAGTTTACCAGAAACAATAATTTAATTATATACTCACCATTCAAGTTGACATCTTTGGCTTGCAAGAAGGGAGGATGAAATGGAAGATGGTTCTTGTTTGGAAGGAGAGTCCCCTTCTGTAAGAACACCGAGAATCCAGCTCTCTGGTGTCCTTTCCCTCCTTGAGAGAGTTTGCAGCCCACTGGGACCTGCTTCTGGCTTACTAGGTCTCAACCTTTTCAGAACTAAAAACTGGTCTAAAGTTGTCTGTTTCTGACTTTTCTTTGACACTGTTCTGTAGTATGACATGACACTGTCATTAAGCAAGTGAATGCAGTGATTGGCTTTTTCTCTAACTGGGTGGGTCTTTTCTACAGATGTTTGTATGTCTTTCCTTTTTTTCAGGATTTCCTTTATTTCAGAAGAAGAAGTTTGCTGCACTGATTGTTGACTCTCTCCTACTCAGAAAGCTCCTCAGCTTCCATTCTCTGTTGCTCAGCCAGAAGTTGCTGAAGTTTCTCTGTAGACAATTCCTGAGTGTTCCTCTGCCAGTTCCTCAACATCACCACATCACCATCTACCTGCAAGCCTATAGACTGTGCTATAGTGTCAGTGTCATCAACCACAGGGTCAGTGAAAGCTTAGCTCCTCTACACAACCTTCAAAGTCTCTCTGCTGTATAATTTCAGGCCACACTTTCTTCCAGACAGACCTCAGTTTCCTTAGAGAGATACTGGCCCAGGATTTCCCAACCTCACACAGGAAAGGAAATCATAACTCAAAACTTTGGTTGTAAGTTAAAACTAAAATTCCAGTGGTAACCCAATTTGTTCATATGTGAGGTTAGTTATAACTCAAGGGTCCACTGTATATGGTCTTTATGTTTCACAAAACATTAATGTACTGTGTCATTTAATCAGAAGCAGGGGGTAAGTTAAATTTTATGCAATTTCTACAGACAGAGTATCTTGAAGGCTGCCATCACTTTGCTCTTAAAAGACAGAGCTGTAATCTAACAGTAACTCTTCCAAAAGGCAAAGTCTTCTCTGGAATTGGTGGTTACTCTTCAAAGCCTCACAGATTGGGGGTAGTATAGAGTGGAAAGGGAGAGGGTGGGATCCAGCTGTTTTACAAATAGGCTTTGAATTTGAAGATGACAATGGAAATCAAGAATTTATGTTCTTACAAAACAATTCATTCATTATTGAAACTTCATTTTTTTCTGTATCAGTACTTCTCACTAAGGGAAAATTATTTATTCCATTCACTTTCTCCCTCTCCCCTTCCCCAAAAAGAAGAAAGGAAGGATTCCACCACTCCTAGGGCAGAGGAGGTGAGCTGTGCGGGAGCCAGCAGCAAAACCTGCCCCCCCGCCGTGGAAATGGGAAGACACATAAGCAAGACTCAGAAACAGACTTCCAGATCCCCTACAGCAACCCCAAAGGGAAAGGAGATGGAACAACCTGACACTCAACAGCCTGGACTACCTGAACTGGCAACAAAAGAGGATCTGGAAAAAATGAAATCAGAAATAATTTCTCAGATAACAGCAAAGATTGTGCTCATAATGCAAAACATGATTAATAAATCTAGAGTGGACACAGATTAAAAAAATAGAGGATCTGAGGAACATGATGGAATCCTAACATAGGAAACAAATGGAATCCATAAAACAGATGCAAACAGATTTCCAGGAGATTAAAAACTCCACTGAAAGTCTGCGCAGCAGAATGAACCAATGTGAGGACAAAATTTCAGATATAGAAGATAAGATTGCGATTAGTGACCAGGAAAAGAAAATTTGCTTTAAAATTGTAAGGGACCACAAGAAATCAATCCAGCAGCTGCCAGATGATGCAAAGAAGAATAACATAAGACTGATTGGAATCAATGAAGAACAGGAGAGAGTGCAGATGACATAAAAAAAACTTTTCACAGAAGTGATGGAAGAACACTTCCCAAACAAGGGAAAAGAACTTGGCACACAGATAAGTGAGGCATATAGGACTCCAAATAGCCTTAATCAAAAAAATCTACACATAGGCATATAATAGTTAGGATTCCAGAAAACCAGGAGATGAACAAAATTCTACAAGCAGTGAGAGAAAAGAAACAAATCACATACAAAGAAAAGCCCATCAGAATCACAGAAGCCTTCTCAATGTAAACCCTCAACGGGAGAAGAGCTTAGAGTGCAAGCCCTAAAGGAAAACAGCCTCCAACCCAGATTGATGTAACCTGCAAAACTATCTTTCAAAATTGATGGAGAAATAAGATACTTTCATGATAAAGAGCACCTCTGGAACTTC